AGCAACAGCAGCAGCAGCTGCAGCTAGCCGGAAGACCCGCAGGGAATGCTGCGCTGCAGCAGCTGCTGGTGACCCCCGAGGCTTCCGCCAGCCAACCGCCAGCAGCAACAGCAGCAGCAGCAGCGGGCGGGGGCGGCAGCCCTCCCGCCGTGTCTGCTGCGCTGCAGGCGTACGGGTGCCCCCCGGGCGTGTCGGCTGCAGCAGCAGCAGCAGCAGCAGCAGCAGCAGGCGTTGCAGGCGGAGACCCCAGCATCGATATGGCAGCAAGAGTCAGCAGCGGGACTTGGCTTGTCTACAGATATGAACTTTGCAGAAGTCACTTTTTGCTGGACAGCTACATAAAAGCTTTATTTCGTTTCTCGCTGCTGCAGCAGCTGTTTCACTCCCACTGCGTGAGCCAGCAGCTGCAGCTGCGGCTGCAGCAGCAGCTGCTGCTGCTCCAGGAGAAACGCACCAGGAGCAGCAGCCCCACCCACGGGCCCGCTGCCCAGGTCCCGGCAGCAGCAGCAGCAGCAGCAGCAACAGCAGCCGCTGCTGCCAGCAAGTTGCCGGCGCTGCCCATGGCGCCGCAGGAGCTGCAGCAAGAGCTGCAAAGCATCCGCCGAGATTTGCTGCTGGGCGTTGCTGCTATATTTGAAGAGATACAGGACGACCGCTATTTGCTGCCGGTGCTGCAGCAGCCGCCACAGCCTCCAGTGCAGCAGCAGCAGCAGCAGCAGCAGGTGGCGCAGCAGCAGCGCCAGCGGGACGCGGCTCAGTCGCCGCCGTCCTCTTCCGCGGCGTCGCCGTACAGCGACACCAGCAGCAGCAGCAGCAGCGCAGCAGCAGCAGCAACTGCTACTGCTGCTGCAACAGCAGCAGCCCTTGCTGCGTCGGAAGAGCCGACGGGGTCTCCCTCCGGCTGCAGCAGCCCGGTGGGCGTCCGCTCTTCGGGAGCAGCAGCAACCGGGGAAGCAGCAGCAGCCGCAGCAGCAGCAGGAGGGGGAGGGCTGGCTTTAGAACTGGAGTATCTGTCGCCGGTGGGGAGAGAAGGCAGCAGCTGGCTTGTTGCAGCAATTGAAGGCCACTTGCTGCTGCTGCGGTCTCACCGCTGCTGCCAAGAAGGAGGCTGGTGGTCCACTGAGTTTCTTTCTCGGCGAGATGTCCGGACCACTGTGCATGCAGATTTGTTTTTGCTGCTGCCTCTTTCGGTGCTCTGTGGGGCGCTGAAGCGTCCCTGCAGCTGCAGCAGCAGCAGCAGCAGCACGGGCAGCAGCAGCACCAGCAGCAAGTGCACCACCAGCGACGCGACCGACGCCGCGGCGTCGCCCGCGGAGAGCTCCGACGCAGACCGGCAGCAGCAGCAGCAGCTGCTGCTGCTGCAGCAGCAGCAGCAGCAGGAACAGTGCAGGTGCTCCTGCCCAGCGCACGCCCAACTGGCCGCCGTATTTGAAGAGCAGGAGGCGGAGCTGATGAGCAGCCGCTGCAGCGCAGCAGCAGCAGCAGCAGCAGACGACAACTGCTCGCAGCTCTTCGACTGCAGCAAAAGAGGTGCTGCGCTGCTGCTGCCTGTGGCTCTAAGAGACATAGCAAACGTTTTGTTTTGCCCCTGCAACTTTGTGACGCGGCTGGCGGTGCTGCGGCCGCAGCAGCAGCTGCAGCAGCAGCTGCTGCAGCTGCACCAGCAGCTGCTGGACCCCCTGCTGCCGCTGCTGCCTCTTTCTGTTGCTGCTGATTGGAAAAGAGATAGTGTTAATGGGGGGCCCTTTTTGCTGCCTTCTTCTGAAGTCTCGCGGCTGCGGACTCTGTCTCGAATAGCAGCAACAGCTCCGTGGTGGCACGCGCGGGCGCGGCAGATATACGAGCAGCAGCAGCAGCAGCAGCAGCAGCAGCAGCTCACGCTGCTCCCCGCCCAGCAGCAGCAGCAGCAGCAGCAGTACCTGCAGCAGCGAGTCCCCATACAGCCCCTCGTCAAGCGCTGCAGGTACTGCAGCTATTCTGGTCTTGCTGCTGCTGCGGATTTGGTGCAGTCCGTGGAGCAGTCGGTGCTTGCTGCTGCTCATTGCTGCAGCTGCTGCAGCAGCAGCCCCTTCCCCCCCGCCCCCGTCCCGGTGGACCCAACTGCTGCTGCCATTGCTGCTGCTGCAGCAAGCAGCAGCAGACACAGAAAGCCCCTCACTGCAGAGCAGCGCCGGCGGGCGCGTGCTGCTGTTGTTGCTTTCATTACAGCAGAAGAGCGCTGCGAGGCAGCATTTGCTGCTGCAGCAACTGCAGCACAGAGCAGCAGCTGCATGGGCATGCTGCTGCAGCAGCAACACTTGGCGGCCCAGCAGCAGCAACAGCTGCTGGTGCAGCAGCAAGCAGCTGCTGCTGCTGCAGCAAGGATGCATGCGTCGGATTTGTCAAGAGCAGCAAGTTCACCTCAAGGAGTTCTATCGCTGCTATCATCTTTTGCTGCTCAGCATCAGCTCTCTTCTCTGACTCCGCAGCAGCTGCTGGTGCCTCCGTTTGTGCAGCAGGTGCAGCGCATGCAGCAGCAGCTGCTGCAGATGCAGCAGCGGCTCATAGGCATGCCGCAGCAGCAGCGGCTGCCGCAGCAGCCGCAGCCGCAGCAGCAGCAACTGCTAATCCAGCAGCAGCAACAAAGATTCCCTCATCAGCTCCCGCCCTACACCCAAACGCAGCACCAGCAACAGCAGATGCAGCACCCCCAGCTGCAGCAGCAGCAGCAGCTTCAGCAGCAGCAGCTCCAGCAGCAGCAGCTCCAACAGCAGCAGCAGCTGCAACAGCAGCCGTACCAGCAGCAGCGAAATCCCAGACTGCACCCGCAGGAGCAGCAGCACCTGCAGCTGGCTCACCAAGGCGACCACCAGGAGCAGCCACAACAGCAGCAGCAGCAGCCGCAGCAGCAGCAGCAGCCGCAGCAGCAGCAGCAGCAGCAGCAGCAGCAAGTGCTGCAAATGCAGCACTTCCAACAACAGCAGGCGCTGCAGCAAGTTCAGCACCAGCAGCAACTGCAGCAGATCTACAGACCTCCGCGGTCTCGCACATTGGACGGCGGCAGCAGCAGCAGCAGCAGCACCACCGGAGCGGAACAGCGGAGAAGC